GGAATTAAAATGCCACAATAAACAGGGGGGCGGATAAAACTCAAACAAAGTAGCATCATAATTACTGAGAAGATTTACATATTGTGCAATTAGGGGTTAGAAATGTAGAAATAAAAAAATAGACAGGATGTTTGGAAAGAAAATCTAGTAGCATCATCATTAATGTGACGAATAATTCTTTATGCAGTTAGTGATTAAATATGTAGAAATAATAAAATGACAAATTAGACAGGAAGTTAGGATATGAAAATATGGTAGACAGGGATTAAGAAAAACTTAAAAATAACATGAATAAACAGGAAGTTTAGACAAGAAAGCCAATGGGATAGTCACTATTAAAAGAATTACCAGTTTATGATGGCCACTGTAGAGACAAAGGTTGGACGTATTTCTTTTGGATGCAAAGCGTGGGTTTGAGCTTTTAGATGGTTAGTGCCTCGGTCGTGCTCAGATGTCTTGATTTTACCTTCTTTGACAGGTTTGACAGAATCTTGTATATTATTTTGAAGGATTTCTCGAATGGCGCTGAATGTCCTGAATTGACCAGGTGTTCTGTCACTAAACTATATATACGTTTTCGTTCTCCTTTTACTAGCCAGGCTGGATAGTGTTCAAGTTTGGGGCATGGTACGGCCGATGTACTGAACTCCGCAAGAGCAAGTAAACTGGTATATAGACGCTGAAGTGGCCCAGTGCGACAGCTTGCCTTTCGAGTTCTTGCTGAACAGTTTCTTGCAGGAAAACATCAGTCGTAGGCTCGCGGCGAAGTATGTTTTCCTCAGAAATTTGCAGAGGCGTTTACGAAAGATTTCTGTTTCAATGTCACCTTTGAATTCTAGGTTAAGTAGAAGCATCTTCTTCGGGACGAATAGGACTTGTTTGGAAGTCTTCTTTGATTTTAGATTCTTCTCTATGAACCTAGGCGGAAAGCCGTTTTCCATCGAGGTTCCTCGGAGAACACGAAGTTCTTCGTCAATCATTTCCTCGCTGCATATCTTCCAAATCCTCGAGGAAAGAGCGTATATAAGGCTCATCTTTCTACTTAGGGGCATGAAGCTTTGAAAATTGATGAATTGTCCATTCCATGTAGGCTTTTTGGATATATGCACCTTTTGAGAGGGTTGTCAGAGTTTCTTCTCAGATGAACGTTGAGGAAGTGGAGCATTCCGTCGGTTTCAGGTTCAAGAGTAAAGTCGATGTTTCGGTGGGCATTGTTGCAGGGAGACCATTTCTCCATCTGCGAGGTTGACATTTTTAACTGAATCGACGAAATCGAATGTGTCGCGGAGGTTGTATCTCGACAGCTTTTCTTTCATTGGTTCAAGAATCTCTACCATCTACTTTGCGATTACGTGATATGGTGAATTAATCATACCTAATATATATTATAGATTCATTAGAGGAAACCTGAATAGAACTTGCACAGATATTCTGCTAGTTAATTGCAATATACATAATCATTCTGAAATTCTTCTTCTTCTGGGACTTAAATTCCTGGAAGTAATGCACACCACGGACACGCAATTCCAATTCAACAATTTTCTCTACCGTCAAGTAGATGGTGTAGCTATAAACAGTGTACCAACCCATACATTAGCAGACATCATGACTTCCAGTCTTGACAGAATATAACTCTAGTGTGCATTCGGCAAAACAACCACTCATCGTCTATATGTTGATGGAACATTCGTAGTATGGAATTATGAAAGTTATGCACTCATCCTATTTGAACTAGTGGATAACTCCCGCGAAAATATTAAATTTAATGTGGGAAGTTTCACTTTCTTCGGATCACTATGCAACTCCTGTAAGATGAAAGTTCCCAAAGATTCATTCATTGAAAGTATATGTGAAATGGATAATACTTAAATTTCAATAACTTTTGTCCAGTCGACTACACATGAGCGTTCGTCAACATTCCATTTTGATGAGCCAAAAGAATATCATCTACTGTGAAACTGGAAGAAGCGTTTGCTGACTGAGTCTTGAGAAAATCGTGGAAAATAACGATTACCTTCAGGAATTCATTAACTGTTATGGAAGATCTGAGGATTTACATGCAAACCAAACTACAACAACAAACAAGAAGCCTGTCTTCAGACAACTCGATTTTAAAGGTGGTAATATTGTGCGAACAGTCAAAAGAAGATTGGATACTTCACTTGTCACAAGATACACTGTAACAGAGTTGGTTCTCGTTTATCGAACAACTTGCTATTCAGAGCAGTCGAAGATCGACAGGTCTAATTGTGTACACAAATTTACGTGTGCCTTCAGTAACACTTACATTGAAAGAATTGTGCACCTCAGATTCTCTGAACACGTACAGAAAAGTTTACGCCTCATGCGGACAAACGGTTTCAGCGGATTTATTGTCAGAAGTCACTTTGATAAGGGTTATGAAACTGACATCTTGAAATCCCTTGAGATTATCAACAGACAGTATGATTCAATTCTTCTCAATTTTACCTAAGTAATTGCTACCAAACGTTTAAAAAACCCGATTTATGTAATTAGAAAGAAACAGTTATGGGTCTTTCCTCTTTTTCTGTTACGTAATATTTAACTTTAACCTCCGACCTTCTGCTTATATTGTAATTTCTATTTGTATGTTTCTATTATATGAGTCGAACTCACCACATTATTACGCAACTTATAAGTTATTTGTCATCTCCGTATCCACCTTCAGTCTTTATTACCCAACTCCTTTGCCATTTCATCCAAACACTTATTTTTATTTTGGTTACGGCTTGATGCCGCACTGCATTTTCAGTACAAGTATGGAACTTTCAACACGGATATCGGTAGCCCAAATTTTGCAGGCCGACCATAGATATCGGGTGTGCGTCGGCAGGGGATCGAACCTCGGACCATATGCATGGTCGGCGTGAGTCCTAACCACTGTGCCACCGACGCACATTGTTTTTTCGATTTTGTTTCGTTTACAGCTGAACATTCTGTATATAAGTTAAATAAGTGTGATACCTGAGCGGCATTTATAAATTTTGGAGTCCCCTGTTAACTGATATCATGTCACCTTTGCAAGTAAGTTAGAACTGCTATGTAAATAAACTTAATCAATTTTTTTAGATTGTTGACGAAATAAACGATTGTACCATTTTACTCCACACAAACCGTTAATTTTTTCTGTGCGTCGGTGGCACAGTGGTTAGGACTCTCGCCGACCATGCACATAGTCCGGGGTTCGATTCCCTGCCGACGCACACCTGATATCAATGGTCGGCCTGCAAAATTTGGGCTACCGATATCCATGCTGAAAATTCCATACTTTTATCAAAAATACGGTGTAGTTTCAAGCTGTAATAAAAAAACGATAGAGATCACGCACATCCGCACTAAAATGAACGATTTTCAGCGATATTGTTGTTTTCAACTGCTAACTCTTACGTGTGCTTCAGCCGTTCAGTGGTAGAATGCTCGTCAACGAAGCATGTGACCCGGGTTCGATTCCCGATCCGAACACTTCTAAACCTCATCTAATTTACAAGCCGACAGCAGGCCAGGAAAAGAGGGGAAGTTAGGCATCAGACTACCGAACTCGTTAGTGGAAGTTCAAAAGCTGAAAGCCGTTACCTTCCACTCAGAACACGAAGAATGAAGACGATAACTGATCCCTAGTATATCATGCATACAAACTAGTTAGATGAGACAGTATTTGAACAGCTTACAGCTGAAGATAAAACTTATCCTATTAAGGTTATCTTCAGTCCTCTAAGTTAACAGAAAGACGAAATGTACAACACGAAATAAGCGTAAATAAATTTTTCCATAGTCCTACACTCATTTATATTGTTTATTGTACAATTAAAATCTGTTGTCATTTGTTTTTATTCATTAGTATCATTGATACTGCATATTATGCGCCGCGTTTCTTATAATTTCATAACAGTACATCTGATCTTGTGCTCTGGTTAGGTAGACGGGAAAAGAAGGATAACAACAGCTCTATCCTCGAACACATTGTAAACTATGGACATCTCCCGCCCTTGCAATAATTGCTTCACAGTGCTACACAGAATTTCCTAATGTTGTGGTGAGAGCTGTCTGCTAGCCAAAATTGGTAGACAGCAATTTACGTCAATGTTTACGTCCCAAATCAAGGTCATGAGAAAAAAACAAGAACAAAGACTAACTCAACAACCAATCACAGCAGACTTAGCGTGGGCGGATACGATTCGCAGATATAAGAAACGACAACAAAGAGATGACGAATAGCCTTCAGCAGGAAAACAACCAATCAGAAGACGTTGCTTCTCTGCTAACAATAACGCTATTAATAACGTACATAAAAATTTATAAATATCTGTTGATTTCCTCAGTAAACGATCTGTTCCCTGGCCCTTGTCTTCTGTCGTTACAATATCACATGAAGGAATTTGGAATACGCCAAATTATTAGCAATTCGGAGCCTGAAACCGAATTTCCACACTCAAAACCATTACATATGCTCACTCGCCTAACCGTGGCACGAGTAACACTCTCCTGAATTATGATTCACATTACGTAATACATCTTCTAGAACACGGTTGTCAAATTTTGATGGATTATAAGAATTCTTTGTAGAATATATAAATACAATTGTACAGTTCTTGAAAGTGATTCGTCCAAAAACAAAATTGTCTTCTCTGTTTACGTTCTCTTTTGTTTATGATTCAATACAATAAGCAATAGGCACATTTTGTTTTTGTATGATAAACTATATATATAGCACGAATTGGCAGAAGTTGGAACTCATGGTTGATTGGATCGGATCCCAGTGGCTGAATGTTCTACAAGCTTGACTTGTAACCGGTTGGTCCTGGGATGTGTACTGCTAAAACTGGGAAAACAAACAGCTGTCCAGTACTCCCAGATATTCCAACAGCTCTCTGATGTCAACTAGTGGTCAAACTCATAACCCATCAAATCGCTGCAAATCAATACTTGCTAAAACTATATTTTGTTAATAGAAAACAATGGAATATCAATAATTATATTTCTTTTACTTCAATTGTATACATCACTGGGATAATAGACAAGAAATACCATAAACAGCACTAGTGCAAAGATAATTGAGCAATCCTGCTTGATACTGCATCCTGTAAATTGTACCAATAAGCGATCTGTATTTTATGTTGCTCAGATCCAATGCATAAGTGTCCGAACTTCAATATTACAGTAACCCTTCGATATCGGTACCGTGTATGAGTTAAGCAGCTGAATACTGCAAATAATACAGGTGTGTGTGTGTGTGGTCCATATCATAGACAGCTTCAATAACTTTCACACCTTACAAACACCTTTCTGCAGCTAAGACATTCCAGATTCTGCAAGTGATTGTATAACAGATTCAGCGGTAGGTAAATTCAACTCATATATGAAACCATCATCATAAGGTGGATGAAAAGAAGGCAGTAGAACACGAGAGAAAAATCGCTTACAAAGAAAAGTATACAACTGGAAAGATTCCTTCTTCTGCTTTTTCTTTACAAAATCTGCATCACATTTATCAATAAGACCAAGAAATTTCACCCAGTTTAAAAACAAGCCAAAATCATGCGGATTACGATATAGTACACCTCGTTCTTTAAGTACACGTGCAAATTTAGCATTAATATGTCGATCAATACTTGTCTCTCCAGTACTAATCAGACGAGTATGCCAAGCACAAAGAGCACATACTAAAGGTATTGCAATAAAACCGAAATTAAAGCATGCTTTGAATAATTGATTGAAAAATTCCTTCCATGGTATATGCATAAATTTATTTGATTCACTCAGAGAGTATTGTGCAGTCGCATTTATCTACAAGGTAGAAGAAGACAAACAAACAAACATACACATATCCAATTAGAAAAGCATTTACAAGAATGATCACAAAATGACTTCAGTTAGAAAACGATTGCATATTAGGGAGTACGGGAGGGCTGTTTCGTCCCTATTCTGGACTCTTCAACGGTACGCACTCATGACCCCAGTGGGGATCAAACCCAGGACCGTCAGGTTACAAGGTGATCTTGTATACCATAGAGCCAGTGGGACGGAATCCAATGAGTGCGATCTCTAGTAGTGTGGTGAGAGATGGTTGCTAGCCCAATTGGTTGACAGTAATTGAGGTCAATGTTAGTCATGTGAAAACAAGGTCAAGATGGACAGGCGGATACAGTTAACATATAAGATGAACTGACACAGCCACAAGAGATGCAAGGTTAACTTTGTGTGAGAATCAACAGACTGTATTTTCTACTAACATTAACCTACAATAATGTACATCAAAATCTATAAATATGTGTTGATTTTCCGTAATAAACGTTCCGTTGCCTGGCCCTTGTCTTCTGTTGTTACAGTAGAGTCATGGGTGAATACTACTAAACAGAGCAAAACAAAGACAAAACAGCTGTCCGGTACTTCCTGGTCTTCAGTAATTCTCTAACTGAAATCATTTCGCGATCAATCTTGAAATAATTCAGCCCCTTGCAAACCAACGTTTGGAAATAAACTAGTTTGTTACCATTACCAAAACGCAAATCCTACAAACCACTTTTACACTGAGCTAAACAAAGAAAGGCACAAATTAGTATGGAAATTATTTACATTAACATGACATATAGGATAGTTTTCCTATACATACAACATTTTTGAACAAAAGTGGTGATAAAAAGCCATCATTTGAAAAACTAACAGATTCAGTGAATTTATTCCCGACACTTTTGACACAACTGTAACGGTAGAACACAAGGGAACATGGCAACGGAATTATTTATTGGCAACTCGACAAACAATATATGGGCAGAATACGTCTACTAAATATTAGAATCACAGTTTGCACATGTCTCCGGTATTGTGCTGCTTTGTCTTTCTTCCATGGTGTCCATATTCATTTCTTCTCTTCGCCATTAAATCCACCTCTTTGCTATTCAATGTACTTGCAGATAATTTGCATACTTATGTCTGTATCTACATGCTACTTATAAATCTTTTCAGTAATACACGCCACACAACCATTCAGTGTCGCGCGGGTGTAGACTAAATTGTTTAATCTCACATTATTATACACTTGATGTCTGTTTCACTGAGAAGAGGATGTAACAGTAGAATAGGGGTTTAAAACAAAGCATTGTAGTAGTCCACCATCTAGAATAATGCGCATACGAAATTCTCCAAGGTATATTCACATTCTTGAAGAGACATCGTATTAATCTCAATTGAAATGCCGAACACAAATTCAGTGTCACATCCTGTTTCACTTATAATTTTAGGTCTTGAAGACATATCGATTAAGACGCATGCTGCCCAAGCTGAGCCATAGCCTTCCTCGACGAGCAATGTTAGCTGAGTTGGGATTAGACTGGAAAAGAGTTAGGGGTGGTCAGCTACATACGGAAGTGTAGACTGCCTGGTTTGGATTCGCCTAGTCTTAGAATCAATAGCTTGAGACTCAAAACCGTTCTCAATGGTGCAGATTCATTCACTCTTTGTTATCTCCTGGATGTATTCGAACCTCATATTTTTTTCCCTTTGTTACTATTCTTCCTCCCGTACACTTTTCCGTATTATAGCTATTTTGTATTTCCTTTTCGTTCTTTTCTCTAATTTTGTGTGCTGCATAGGTGCAGCAACTTGAATTGATGCACTTTTGTGCAAAATTCTGTGTTGAAACTCAGTCAGGCAGTCAGTCAACTTATAATCAATCACCGTAGTTTTCTTCTCCATATTAAAGGTTAGGCCATCACTAGCAAACTACTATGCTTTACATTATTGTACAGCAAAAAATTTAATGATTCCACTAGTTCCGTATCTGTCCTTCCAATACACTTTATTTAAATGTAAACCTTGATAAAACCAGTATGTCCTAAAGGTAACTAAAAAGACCATTTGTGTATTGACTATCTGATAGGTGGTTTTCTATCAGGATGGGTGTCTTAAGAAGCTTGTGGAGACTACTCACTTCTTCGGCGAACATATCTTTTAATTTATAATGAGCATTTTCAAACAGTTAAAATTAGTTTATTTAATTTTTATCATCCAACACTAAACTGGAGTCAACGGTCAAAAAATTAGTGTTTATCACATACAATTTCGAACTGTCCGCGAACAGAATAGATGAGATTTAGTCAAATTAACACTAATTATTTGTTCGGTGGTGGTTAACAGTGGAGTCCAAGATGTGCGTTTCGTGGCTCAGTAACGCAGTGGATACTACTTTGGCGTCTCAGTCGATGGGTGCTGGGTTTGAGCCGTAATTCTAGCACCACTGTGGTGAGAGCTGTCTGCTAGCCAAAATTGGTAGACAGCAATTTACGTCAATGTTTACATCCCAAATCAAGGTCATGAGAAAAAAACAAGAAAAAAGACTAACTCAACAACCAATAACAGCAAACTTAGCGTGGGCGGATACGATTCGCAGATATATGGTCTGACCTCAAAGAAATGCCACAAAGAGATGGCAGAATAACTTTCAGCGAGAAAACAACCAATCAAAAGGCTGTTTCTCTGCTAACAATAACGCTAATAATAATGTACATAAAAATCTATAAATATCTGTTGATTTTCTCAATAAACGATCTGTTCCCTGGCCTGTCGTTACACCACCACTTGTCATCACTAGGTGACATGGACATCCAGCTGACAAATTTCAAATAAGGCGCAACGTGCATCCTCAATTCTACTGATGGTTATCAGCGAAAAGTAACTTCGAGTTAGTAGTGACGGTGATATTTAGATGTCCGTTCAAGGAACCCATACATCGAAATTAGGTTGATGACTAATTCACTCCAGGGTCTATTCCAAGTGTACAATAAATGACTGTTAAATTGTAAAAACTATTGAAATAACATATTCAGTCGATAATAAACACACACACACAAAAAAAAACAATAAATCAAGCTTACTTGATGTTGTTTCTCTTCAGTTAGATAACTTTTAAAATCTGACCAACCAACAGTTAGTAAGTATATTCCACCAATACTCATATATATTAATACTAAATAGAAATGACGATGGGTATACAGGCCAATACAATTAGCTGTCCATGGACAATGATGATCCATGCGTAGAATACACTTTTTGCAGACAACACAATGATGCGCTCGCATAGGACGTGCAATAAAACAACGTGTACACACAGTATTATTATTATAAGAATGATTTAAATGATTAATTGATGGAAGAATGTTTGGAACAGTACCAGGATTAATAAATATAGCGCATAAGTAATGAAAGTATACATTAATAATTAATAAATGACTGCATAAAAAATGCAAAATAAGCCAAAAACCTTCCCAGTATGCACTACATTTAAGTGAATTATACTCCAAGTACATATAACATGAATATAGGATAGAAAGACGTCGAGGTATCAGATACATGTACAACAAGCTAATAATTAAGCATAAATAAGTTAAAACAAGCGCTACTAGAGTTCGACCAAAATTTTTCCGTCCACCAAGATATAATGAAAAACAATTTAAAATTGGCTCTAATATTACAGTGGTATAAATATTTGAAATTAATTCAAATAACCAGATAATACATCCAGTGATAATAGATGATTGATGAGTAAAAAATTTTCTATCCGGTTTAATTGTAAATAAATCTGGTGCACAGAAACGAATCAAAACTTTTACAAGGTAAATATAATCCGAGAGGAAGCGCATTTTTCATAATGGGGAGGAAATTCTGAACGGAGGAAAAGAAAAGAAAATAAACTGTTACTAGCTGTAAAAAAAAAACACAGTGAGAATCATACAGCAGTGAACAGTGAGTCAGTCCGCCATAGGTTTAGGGCTAATCCACAGTTGGCATCTACAACAATGTATAGTACGGGGGATTCCTTGGCTTGGTACTACATAATATGACGAAGACAATCTTTGGACAGATCAAATCCGAAGACAATTAAAATAAAAACCTCGTATTCCCTACATATGTAATTTGGTATGCTGCAACAGGTCTTTCGTGTTCTAGGCTATGAGTCGCACTCGTTCTTTGCGGGTTATCGATACTACTACCCAGTTGTCCAGGCTGAAGTAGGCAGAGCGAGATTCAAATCTATGATCCCATTATTAGAAGTCCAACGACTAGATAGATGAGCCACCGCACCTGCCTAAATCGTCCCCAAACAATGAGAACAGCAGGGGCACTGATTAGCCGATTCCCTTCAGTCCCGGGAAACTGAACCCGAGACAATCAACCATTTCAGCAAGACGACTATCATTCAACTCTATAGTCAGAGTTGAATAGCCCACACTCGTCACAACTGGGGTCTTAAGAATATCGTTAACATCCCACACTTAGATAAATCATCACATCACACGATATGTGTTCTGAAGCAAGTCATTAGAAAAGAGTAAACTAAAAAAAATTAGTGATAGTATCTTGATTAGCGTCGTCAGCACATCCTCATTAAATAAACTATTATTATTAATCAATCTAAGAACAGCTCCCACGGACAAGTATGTTGGATGAAATCAGTAAGTGAATATGTGCTATAAAATTTTCACCAATATACAGTTTGTCATTTTCTTCCTCACACAAATTCACCCATTGTAGTTTCATGAGATTCGTTTTCCCAAATTCTGCGTGCTTCAGAAGAATGGAAACTTATGCTAATGCACATTTTTGCGCCAAGTTTACCGTTGATAAGTCAGTCCATTCAGAAGTTCAAATTCAGGCCACACTGCGTGATTATTGGGTGGCCGAATAATACGACTACCGCTCCATTTCGAAACCACAAAACATGGAGGTTATGCTTACTAAATGTCTTTGAAAATGTTTCCGTAAATAACTTTCTTACAAAATACCTGATCTTACTTACAGAGCTCTAAAGTGACGAAATACCGACAACTCTCCTAGCAAAATAAACAACTATTTAGCTCAACGTCACGGGTTTTGCGGGAAATTCCAAAAAGTAAAAACATATTCCAGGACAAATGTCACAATGACATGTAGCGCAGTTTAAAAACATGTTTATCATAATTAATAAACACAATATTCGAGTCCAGTTTCACCGGTTTTCAACCAGCGAATTTCAAAAAAGTACACACGAAATATTTAGCGAGATAATGCTGTTTGAACTACATCGTTTTTAAGAAGTTATATATATGGTTTGGGAATTGAATCATAGGATCAATACATCCAATGAATTATTCTATGTCTGACATTAATTGTTTTGCCACTTGACATTTAACTATGACTACAATATTAAACAACGTCTACTCGAGTTTGATTCCCTATCACTTCAATCACATCGTTCAACTTGCAAGTAACTTCCATGGTTTCATGTCTCATTCATTATTGTGTTAGAATAGTGACTTCTCTGATGCAAACAGTTGTCTGAACAAAATGTCTAGAGAAAACATTTTCAGTCCTCGACAGTGTCATCGCTCTACATTGTACCAAAGAGGTAGAAAATAAGGGAACGAGTTTTGAGAGAAAGTGGACTTGACAGGTTTGTTGATGACAGCGGCTATGTGGAAGCTGCAGGTTGTTTTACGCATACGAATCAGTTGTATTTCACTTAAGACGTAATTAATGCTTCCACTGACGAATGCTGCAGTGATAATGGGAATTTCGGTCGTCATGAAGTGGTCAACGTCCCGGCGGCAGATAGCCATGTTGAATCGGACAGTGGTAATAGTTATTGCTTTCGAAAAATCTATTCATTCAGATGCCACATTGCCAACGACAGAAGAAAGGAGTCTTGTAGATAGGACGAACGAAGTAATCTTGAGGATGGTGGTGACGGAGACAAAGATCACACTCCCGGACGCCAACAAGATACTCGGCATTTCTAGGGAGCTACTTCCCCAGTTGCCAAGTGATGTCAGGGGAGTGTTGCGACAGTCTGGTAAGTGTCCTGCTAGGTTGTTAGTTATAAGTGTTTATTATCACATAGGCCTATAAACTAATCTTATAAGATACGTGGACTCTTTGTTGAATACAGAAACTTTCAACACTGCCCACTTGCATCTGAATTTTGATGGCCTATCCGCCTTCGAAAGCTCAAATCAACAATTATGACTAATCTTAGGCAGGATAGTTTATCCAAGAACAAATGACGTCTTCCTGATAGGCATTTACGGTGGGATTAGCAAACCAGTAGATTTCAATGAGTTTGCTGGTGAACTATTCGCCGAGTTGCAGGTTTCAAACTGGGATAAACTGTACACACAACGTCAAGAGATATTTGTGCTAAGGTCAGGTTGGTTGCTGTTGTCTGCAATACAGCTGCAAGAAGTTTTGTGAAATTCACGGTTGGGCATAATAGTATATTTGTCAATTTCCTATTATAATCGGATCTATTCATTACTACAATACCATTGCCCTTATCAGGACGGACGAGGACTATATCTTTATTTTCTTGGAGCTGTTTAAGTTGTCGTCTGTTTTCCTTGGTCAGTAGATAACGGTGGCTCGGTCGCGTATGAATGTACTTGTAACAGCTGTCAAGAATTGAAGCTTTGAATTGAATTATAATAGGAAATCGACAGATATACTATCAGATAACACCAAATTCTTCGAATCACCCAACCAGAAAGACACAACCGAAAGAAATGAAAACCTACTTACAAAATTGCTGAAGAGAATGAAAGAAGATTCAGTCATAACACCGGAGGTTTATGAGCAAATAAAACCTTGCAGTTCAACTGTTTCAAGACTATATGGACTGTCTAAAGTGCATAAGGAGAATGTCCCACTTCGACCTGTCATAGACATGGTTAACTCACCATATCACCAAATCGCGAAGTGGCTAGCTGATTTGCTCGAACCAGTTAAAAGACATATGACAAAATATAGCCTCAAAGATACATATGACGTCATCGACTCAGTGAAGGATGTCAACGTGTCTGAAAGACAAATGATCTCATTAGATGTCGCCTATCTATTCACAAGTATCCCCCTCACTGAAACAATATGCTTCATTTGTAATTACATCGAAACCAACAACCTAGAAGTTCCTCTCCCAATAAACTACCTGAAGGAACTTCTCAGATGTACGTTCAATATCCAGTTCAAATTCAATGAAAAGTTCTATGTACGGAAAGATGAGGTAGCCATGGGGTCTCCTCTCGGTCCACTCCTAGCCAACTACTTCATGGCGAGTCTTGAAAACAACACCCTCAATCCCTTGATAAGTCAACTGCACTTATACAGGAGATACGTAGATGATACGTTTATAATCTGTGATGAAAATTGTGAATTAGATTCTCTCCTCAAAACCTTCAACGCAGCGCATCCATCAATAAGTTTCCCCTTAGAACGAGAATCGAACAACGCATTTCCACTCCTTGATGTCCTACTCACCAGACGACACGACTGTACTATCCAAAGATCAATATACCGCAAGCCAACATGGATTGGACAGTTTATCAACTTCCAGAGTTTTGTCCCACTAATCCGAAAGAGAAACCTAGTACGTACGTTGTGTTCAAGGATCAGAAAAATCTGCTCGGAAGACATGGTAGAGAAAGAATTGAATTTATTACGTAAGACCCTACTAGAGAGTGGGTATCCACCAAGATTTATTGACAACAACATGAAGGAGAAGCCTCCGGTGTCAAACATCGCAACGGTTCCTAAGAAGACTCTCTTTATGAACCTAGAATTCAAAGGTGATGTTGCAGCGGAAATTCTCAGAAACCGCCTTTCTAAATGTCTGAAGAAGACATTTCCAACAGCCACTCTAAGTATCACATTCTCCTGCAGACTGTTAATCCAGTCTAACGCTAAGGACAAGATACTGCTTTTGGCCACCTCAATGTGTATTTATCAATTTACTTGCTCGTGTGGAGCAAAGTATATCAGCCTTACGCAACGTCAAGTCCACAAACGTATTCTGGAACACTGCCCAGCTTGGTTATCCAGAGGAGAAAAGAAGAATAGCAACAGCTCCATCGTCGAACACCTTGTCATCTCTGGATATCGAGCACCCCCCACACCACATGAATGCTTCACAGTGTTACACAGAGTCCCTAAATATCGTACAAAGGGACTTTGGATACGCCATCTGTGCATAGCTTAAGCATTAGCTATTCGAGATCTGAAACCTGACCACTGCATCCAAAAGCGATACATACATTCTCTTGCCCTACCATGGCCAGAGTTCTTACCACAATTTTGCTTCTTTCCTTTATTATGTAAGTTCACTATTATTACTATTATTATTTTATTTTATTAATACTTTTATTACCATTATTATTCCCATCATCCACATTTTACTACCACTCTGTTACTGTTTGCAAATAACATTGCTTTTCACACATATTTTATGCAAAAACACTGTATAGCCTTTCCACTAGTTCCTGTCCATTTCACACGAGCTTATTGATTATTCATTATCTCACACTTATCACGTCATGCCAACTTCTGTCTCCTTTCTAACTTACAATTAGTCATCCCTTCCTACACCTTACACTATGTATACAATTTTCCAAGGACAAAACTTACCAGTATCTGATCGGTCTAAAGATTTCTTTGTTAATTATAATTACGATTGTACAACTCATGATAATGAATCGTCGAAAAGAAAATTTTCTTCGCTGTTTGTGCCTTTTTCTTATGACGCGATAGGGGAATATTTCGTTCAGTGTGAGTTTTGTCTCCGTCACCACTATCCTCAAGATTGCTTCATTCGTCCTATCTACAAGACTCCTTTCTTCTGTCGTTGGCAATGTGGTATCTGAATGAATAGATTTTTCGAAAGCAATAACTATTACCACTGTCTGACTCAACATGGCTATCTGTCGCCTGGACATTGACCACTTCATGACGACCGAAATTCCCATTATCACTGCAGCATTCGTCAGTGGAAGCATTAATTACGTCTTAAGTGAAATACAACTGATTCGTATGCGTAAAACAACCTGCAGCTTGCACAGCCACACCACTGGAAACGCTGCTGTCATCAACAAACCTGTCAAGTCCACTTTCTCTCAAAACTCTTTCCCTTATTTTCTACCTCTTTGGTACAATGTAGAGCGATGACACTGTCGAGGACTGAAAATGTTTTCTCTAGACACTTTGTTCAGACAACTGTTTGCATCAGAGAAGTCACTATTCTAACACAATAATGAATGAGACATGGAACCATGGAAGTTACTTTCAGGTTGAACGATGTGATTGAAGTGATAGTGAAGGAAACTATGGAAGAGTCAGTTTGAGCAACATGATTCCACGATATATTTAAGTGAATGAGTTTTTCGAATGCAGAGTCTAAGTGACCTTTGAAACTAAACACAAAACAATTCTGATTAATTATTCAGACCATTTGAACCATATATATAGTTCAAACGGTCTACACTTAGTTGGGACCGTTGGAGTGTTTATTTTGCGATTTTCCCACTTCACCCACCAAGGCACTGCAATACTGCTGAATACAGGAAAATATAATCACGTTAGCTAAATTTTTTACTGGTACTGGGAAACCAACGAAAGCTTTTGATGAATTAACGGCAACTACTGTACAAAAATGAGGAGTACACTTTAAGGTCTTATAAAGTCAGGATTCAAATAAAGATACAGATGAAATTCGGAGAATTATGATGCATATATTAAGTAACTAAACATAGAATAAAACCTTCATATGATATCGCTACCTGTAGCGGAATCTTCAAATAATCTGGTAATTTGCAGTTTCGCGGTCCAAGGGTGTGCTTGATGTAGATTGATGACTTTTGAGCTTTGCCGACGATAAACACAAAATAAGAGTGATCAATCTTTTAATTATATTTTTTTGAACTAAAATGTGTCCCAAATGAATCTGCTCAAACTTAACAAGTAAGGGCACACCCTGCTGATGAATTTTAACCAGGTCACCCTTGAACACAGGGTGTGGATAAAAGCTATCGCAGTGTACTTTCTCAGATAGTCTAGGTTATCGTGGTTATGCTTATGTAGGCATTATATTTATCTGTTTTTGTGAAAAATGGCTTATTCTATTTGTTTTCGCTTCTGTAGTTGAAATGAGTCATATTTTCTCGTATTATATAAGTGTGAAGAGTGTCTTGATATCCCAGAGGAATTATTAAAAAGAAGGGCATGCACTTAGAAAAATTATGCACAGAAATGACTTTTCTTAATAGCCTTAAATGTTTGATATTTGTAGATATTTTTTATTTTAAGGTTGTAAGTTGACTACAAGCATTGGTTAATATATATTAATCTGTTCTGATAACATAGCAGGTATTCTATGAGTTTCAGGCTTTTGATGGAGAATATGGCCGAAGAGATCTATTCTGAGGAGCTTAGCTTTTTTAATTTTGTCCGAAATAATGAAGTCGTTCATGACACATCGAAGAAATTGCAAGGTGAATGAAACCAGAGGCTGAATTTTCGGTGAAGTTGATGGTTAAAATTGTTCAGCCAGTGATGTGATAACAGTGTGATTTACATTACCACATGGAGTCTTGGATGACCATAACTGCTCAGGTTATCGAGGGGCATCAACTTTTCTTGATTTCAGTGCTCATTGGGACAAGAATACTAAGCATGATCCTTCTGGAATGTAACAATACTTACAGTTAGTCTTACCTATCTGTCGTAAAGTAGCTTGCAGGTGCATGCTACCGCTAGTTTATCTGTTACGTAATTTCAGATCAACAAGGTATTCTGAGCTCCTTCAGGAATTATCCATGACTATGATGG